TTTTCTTGTTTGTTGCTTTTCTCTCCCTTCGTGGGCCGGGCCTTTCCTTTCCTATCCTTTCCTGCCTTTTCCTTCCCTGTCATGCTTCCTTCCCATTCTTGGAAAAGGCACCAGTTTTGAAGCAATCAAGCTGCTGCATCTTTTGCTCAGAAACCAGTTGCTTGTTCTCGGTTCGTTCGTTTCGTTGGCCGGGATTTTCTTCTCCTCCTTCCCTCTTCCTTCTGCCTCCTTTCCTGTGCTTTCCTGTTTTGTTCTTTCGTGTCCTTTTGGTGCTGCTGCTAGTCTTTTCGGTGTTACTACGTTCTTTTCGCAGTTAGCTTGGCGCGTGTGCGCAGTGCTGAGCGGGCGCACTTGAGTAGGTGTGCTTACCATCTGGCAGGGGTGTGTGCAGCGCTGAGCATGTGCATTTAGCGAGTGCGCTACCATTTTGCAGGCTTGCGCGCAGTGCTGCGCGGGGGCCCTTGAGCGGGTGCGCTTACCATTTGGCAGGCGTGTGTACAATACAATGCTGAGCGGGCACACTTGAGCGGGCGCTTACCGTTTGGTTGCCGCGTGTAGTATGCAGTGCTGAGCGGGCGCGCTTGAGCGGGCGTGCTTATCATGTGCGGGCATGTCTGCGCTGCTGCGCCTGAGAGGGTGTGCAAACCAAACAAACAAACAAACAAACAAACAAACAAACAAACAAACAAACAAACAACCAACCAAACCAACCAAGCAAGCAAGCAAGCAACCCAGCACCCCAGCAACCCAGCAACCCAGCAACCCAGCAACCCAGCAACCCAGCAACCCAAGCAACGTTCGGCCATTCGGTTCACGCGCGCCGGGAAAGCACGGTCAGGCCAAAACATCGACAAACTGAAGCGCACTGAGCCCTCCCCGTGCCTCTGGCTGCACCTTGGGCTCCTTCGCATCCTTGTTCCAGTACTTGTCATATCCCAACGGCACCAGAATGGGATCCAGCAGGCAGGGTGTCTTGCCCCCTGAGAGGGCCTCAGGAACTGGACAGCGCCCAAGGGCAAGCCAGAGGTCTCCGAAGAACAGGACAAGTGACATATCTAGCTGCACTAATCTTGGCGCGGCAAGAAAGTGCAGCAAGCCATAAAACAAAAAAGCCCGGCTAGGAATCCAAAAACGGCGTCGAGGAGACTACAAAGGGCAGGGGAGCTTGGTGGGCGGCTCCTTCAGGTATCAGTAGCAAGACAAACAAGGGAAATGACGAATATCAAGAGAAAGAAAGATAAACAAAGAGAAGGGAAGAACAAGGAAGAGAACGAAAGAGGAAAAAGGAGGAGAATAAAAGAGAGAGAAGTAACAGGGAAAGAGAGATAGACAAAAAGAAACACAGAAAGAAAGAAACACAGAAAGAAAGAAACACAGAAGGAAAGAAAGAAAGAAAGAAAGAAAGAAAGAAAGAAAGAAAGAAAGAAAGAAAGAAAGAGAGAATGAAAGAAAGAAAGAAAGGAAGGAAGGAAGGAAGGAAAGAAAGGAAGGAAAGAAAGAAAGGAAGGAAAGCAGAAAGGCAAAAAGGCAAAAAAGACAGACACAGAAACAGAGACACAGGGAGAGAGAGAGAGAAAGAGAAAGAGAAAGAGAAAGAGAAAGAGGAACAGTCCCATTCCCATTCCGATTCCCGTTCCCGTTCGCACTTCAATTCACGTTCCCATTCCCATTCCCATTTCCGTTCCCACGTCCGGAAGAGGGAGAGGAAGAGGAAAGAGAAAGAGAAACACAAAGAGAAAGCGAAAGACAGAGGGGGGAGAAAAGGAGAAAGGAAAGGGGGGCAGAGCGGGGGAGAGACAGAAAGGGGCGATGGAGATTGAGTTATAGTGAGAGAGGGATTGACCTTCCACCAAGGTTGCTGGCAAAGAACCTCAGAAATGCAACGATATTGACTCGCGTCAGTGATACAGGTTTTGGAGATCGACAAACAACCCAAGGTGGACCCGAACGACCACGACCCCTTGGAATGCCGCATCGGTAGTGAAGCACTGGTCCAGAATCAAAAAAAACACCCATGTTGGTGTCCCCGCATGTTGACACGTGCCCTTTTTAGGCCCAACAACCTTCGAAAACCACCTTGCCATTTCCATCATCTCTTGTTTTAGCACCCTTCCGAACATCTCCCGCGCCTTGACCACGACTCAGGCCATTGATTTCGTCAAGCGCTGGCAGGGAAATGCGCTTTCGCAAGGCTGTCTTGAGCCGAGTTTCTCCAGCGGCTAAGAAATCGGGCGGCCACTATAAAGATTGGCTTCCTTTTGGCTTCGCTTGAAGACTACGGGCCAAAAAAAGAGACACACCCTAGTGGGCAAGACGACGAAATCCCGCGGGTCTCTCCTGTCATATAACGTCCATGTGCGTACCCGTCTCTCCCGGCACATGGGCACATGTTTCTTTTTGGACCTCAGAATCGATGGATCGTCGACTTGAGAACTGCGCGACTCGGCGTGCGGGAACTGCGAACTGCGCATCCCGGATACGCTGGCAATCATCGAGGACATCACGGCGGTGAGGCCGACGGTGGTATAGCCGTCTTGGAGAGCGCGTTGCAGCAGAACTCAGAGATCAAGGTCGGAAGATACGGGAAGAACATGCCCGAGCGAGCCACCCAGTCCTTCCAAGCCGCATGACGGGACATGGAGGCTTCTTTGGCCAGCATGTTGGGCACGAAGATGTTCAGCCAGGCGATGGAAAAAAGCCCCAGGGGGAGCCAATTCATCGACAGCACAGCGAAGCCGACGTAAATCATGACCTCGCCAAAGTAGTTAGGATTCCTGGTATGTGCAAAAAGAGTGGTCGTAATGAGCTTGCGTGGACGTTCCAGACTCAGCTGCACGTGCTTCTGCAGGTCCGAACAGTAGTGGTAGAACATACCGATGATGTAAAACCACAAGCCAATTCCAAGGACCCAGGGCTCATTGCCTTGGCCAAACCTGGCAAAATCGCAGTAGTGCGTGATCAAGCACAGCATGGGGCTGTAGTACAGCCCCAGGGGGTAGATGAAAATGCTGGCCGCCCCCAGAAAGCCAGTGGGTCGTTGCCAGCTTGGGTCTCCATAGTAGATGTCCTTGTAGACCCACAGAAACCCATACGTCCCATGGCAGATCAACAGGGCGCTGGCAGCGGGACCCCAGATCTCTTTCAGGCTCAGGTCCCCGGCAAAGTACCACAGCATGGCGAGGTACACTGGGGCCACCAAAAGCTTGTGCAGATTGATGACCTGCCGCACCGTGAAGGGTCCGGTGACCTTACCACAGTAGGCTCCCGCCATGTACATGTCTGTGAAGTTCCGGATGAAGCGGACAATCGCATGGGGCTGCGGCTTGCTGTTGGCTTCCTGCAACAGTGGCGTCGACATGGCGCGCCACGAATCGAATCTTGGCAAGAACTTGAAGCCGAGCCTCGACTTGAGCCAAGCCACAGGTTGCCCAAGCTGCCCATGGGGGGTATCCGCATGGAACAGCGATGGCCTTGGGTGCACCAAGATTAGGAAGGGCTGGCAAGCTACACGACCACGTCAGCCATCTGCCAATGTAAGCAGCGAAAGCTCTTGCTCAGGAACAAGTTGAGAAACATGTAAGGAACTGCCAAAATCATCATGGCTCCCTGAGCGGCATCTAGTAGTTGCGACTTTCTTGCCTTGGTTGGCTTCGCGCAAACCAAGATCCTTATGACGGCCTGGATGACTCAGTGCTGAGCAAAATGTACGTAGTGTGAACCAGTGCATGTGGAACAGACTCTGATTCGAGCCACGAGACAACTTTAGCACACAGCTTGCCTATGGTCTGTGAGATCCTTCTTGCTGGGATTTGCGCAAAATGCAAGAAGAACTGAGCTTCTGCATCCGCCTCTTGTCGCTGTGCGCCGGCAAAAAAATCCCCCGTCCTCGTGACTTTGCATTGAGCACTCGCAGCCTGGAACGGGAAAGCTCTTCCGAGGTTGTGCAAAGCCGAAACTTGGCGATTTTGGGCGTGGCTCGTCTTGACCAGTCAAATTCAAATGAACTAACCGAGAAAAGGCCAAGGGAGCACATGATCTAGTGGTCGCCTCTCCAAGCTTCACCACATTGCCCCGCAAAGGGCCTTCTTTCGGGTCAGAGCTGTGAGTCAGCTCATGAGATTTATGATATCTCCATGGCTGTTTGAGTGACGTCAAGCCTGGATGAAGCAACTGCAGGCTCAAAAACATGTTTCTCACTATTAGATCTAGTTGTGCCACAACCGTGGCTACTTGCCATTGTTTGAAATGTGGTGTTCTTGGTGTCTCCGCTGAACATACTGATTATACGAGCCGGGGTCATGAGCATGGCTCCTTTGAAATCCTTCTATTTCTTGCCTAACCCACAATTCAGGATCCATCACCATCATTGATACCTCAGCAAGTGTTTGACCATGGCACGATGGGCTGTAAGTCTCCCCCCGTTTGAACCTTCTCAGTGAGAGCCCTGCGGACAAGAATAGGAACATCTCCTCTAAATGAGTGAAGCGCATCATAACCACACACATCAGCAAGCAACACGCCCTTCTACACATGAAGCGCCGCATGAATCAAATCTTCAGGAGGCTTGACCCAGCGGGTTAACTGCCTTGATTTGTTCCAAGCCCTCGCGTCAGAGGCCGCGCTCGGTGCACGTCAGCTCCCAAGTCTGACATGGCGACGACGTTGATTCGTCTTTAAGGCAACTGTTTCAGCCCGAATCGCTTTGGCCTAAAGAAGGGTAAAGTGAACCTGGCCCATCTTCTCCCCTAAATGTTGCCATGTGAGCAACTGGGCCACGGTCATACCTGTGCTGTCCCCAAAGTATCTCACCCCCTCAAGGTTCATTCATTCTCGTCTGTTTTATGTTGAATTGGGGACCCGTTGGACATCCTTTGGGGGGTTCGGACCAAATTGAAAGGGGAGTCCCAACTCTTAAACTTCGGCAGCTGGGGAACCTTCCCCACGGTGATTTTTCACTTTTGAGGGTCCTTCCCCCTCTTTTAGCGCCAACCCACCCACCTCCCACTGCGGCTAATCCTTTTTCGTCGGCTTTTTGGGCCATTTTTCCGCGCGCAAAACCCCCCGGCCAACGCAGCCCAAAACCCAGCGTCCGAACGCGAACGGGGCGCCTGGGCGGCCTCCTCGAAGCGCCGCTGCGCCTCTACTGAAACTGTGGGTCAAAATAGGTACCCTTCCAACTACCATGGCACCTATGAAAAAATACCTGGAAGATTCATTTCCTTTTGAAGGGAGCGGGTCCCTGTCAGTTGCCATGTTTGTTGGAGGGAGGGTACCCAAAATGGGCTGCCCTGGCAAATGGAACGAAGAAGGCCACCCCACGAAGAAGGCGTTTTCTCACCAAACCACTGGCCGAGGCCGTGCCTCCTGGGCCAAGGCCAAGGCCTCCGCCCTCGAGGCAAAGTCGCAGCCGGGCCTCGATGCGATGGGCGCAACGAGTCGAGGGACAGAAGGCCGCTTGCCATAATGACCCTCCTAAAAAAAACAACGCCCTAAGAGAATTGGCGGTATTTGCAGTACTTGTGCCGATTTCCGCTCCCTTTTCAGACACTCCAATGTTGAGCATTTAAGTATGCCCGCATTTGCTGACATTTGACTGACTGTATCTACCTAAAACGCTTTAAAGCGCATTGGACCCAAGATTCAAGATTCCTAGGACCCTAGATCAGAAGAAAAAGTATGGGACCCCCCAAATCGCTTTAAAGCGCTTTAAAGCACGTTGGGATCTAAGATTCAAGAGTCAAAATTCCAAGGACTCTAGATCTTGAATCTTGAATCCAGGATGGGACCCCCCCTTGAATCTTGAATCCATGGTAAAAGCGCTTTAAAGCGCTTGAAAGCATTTTTGGAGGGCCCCATACCGGATTCATGATTCAAGATCTAGTCCTGGGAATCTTGCATCTTTAGATCCAAGAGCGCTTTAAAGCGTCTGCGTTCAGTCATTTCTATTTGGGTGTGCACCTTATTATCCTTTTCGACTTGTGCGCGGTAAATACAGTTGATGGTTCAGCGTATGGACATTGGACATGTTGTTGAATGACGAAAAGCTCCACACCAACCCTTGGATATTAAGAAACACTGTAACTGTAAATACCAGTGTGTTGCATGCTGTTTAGCAGGTTGTGTGCAGAAGCTTTGTTTCCTCAGGGAAATTGGTTCTTTTAGCAGACAGCGTCGCATTGGTCAGGGCATATGAGGTGTGAGCAGATGGTTCGAAGTGGATTTGCACCTCAGTTAAGATGAGAAATCGAAGATGCGTAGGCGAAGCAGAGGTATGGCTTGCCTTTTTGCTTGATACACTTGTGCCGGTACCCTCACAGAGATGCTTTACAGACAACTGAGCGAGAACAACATTTGCGATGAAGACTATTCCAAATCAAAATTAATCTGACGATTTCTATTTGACAGCAGATGTGTTTTTCTTGGCTGACATTTTTGAAAACTTCAGAGATGTATGTATGACATATTATGGTCTAGACCCTGTGTATTATGACACGTTACCTAGCTTCGCTTATACACTGTACCAACTTGTTTTTGATGCCAATTGTCCAATTGACTTGGTGGCAAAGTCTTAATGAATCATCTGCGAAAGTCTGCCAAAATTGTTAAATGAGCCCACTTTTGGTAATATCTGTCTAAGATGACTTGACCCCCTTCGGTACGCAGCAATCGGGGGGGGTGGTGCCTTTATATGTGTATATATATATATATACTTGTGGTGGGGTTTGCATAGATTGTATGTATAAAGGTGGACTCTTGGGGGGAGGGTGAGCATATATATATATATATATGTATATATTATATATATATATATATATATATTTGTAGAAGGTACAGCAGTACAGAATGGCACGGCAAATCCACGACCTAGGGTCCTTTCCTAGGGTTCACTCACAAACTAGACTTTTTGAAACGTCTTTAAACCTTCTAAACCACCTGGACGATAAACCTAAGTCTCCCGACTGGGCCGCAGAGTCCGGCAAGGGCTTGCTAGGCAGCTGCGCCCCTGGCAGGTTCCAACTTGAATTGCCACCTCAACTCGGTTGCTTTCTGCTCCCCTGCTAAAAGCTTAACTTTTGGTGGTTTAGTGGACAACCCATTCGTTGGCAAACCTAACATCCAAGCAACATGCGAGAAAGTCGATGTCAGGCAACGTTCCACGTGATGCATATTGCAAATCGGAGTTGTCAAGCCACGAGTTTCAGGCAAAACTCTCTTCTGTCCAGTAAAGATGTCCATCACCACGACAGTGCGAAATGGGACTCTGGCGAGCGAGGTTGGGTGAACCGAAACCCTCGAGCGCGGCTGCTGCCGAAAATCGGAGACCCCCAAACGATTGGTGTCGTTTTGAATCTTTCCCGTCCAACGGGGCTCCTGGGGTTCTACGGCACCCATGCCTGGAGCATGCTCAAAGCTTCCACAGTGCGGGTCATGGCGACGCATCCTTCAATCGAGCCAAACCTAGGGGCCGCTGGAATCTAAGCTTTCTTTTGAGGGTAGTCTTTTTGGGGTTTACACAGAGAACTCCCGCTTGGGCCTATGCACAAGGCATCCAGGTGCCGGCGGTAGTACTGCGCAAAGCGGGTGGCATACCTGGGAGCCGCTTTTCCATTTTGTTAGGCATGGCTCTTTCTCGATGGAAGAAAGCGAGGGCGCCTCCTCGTTTTGACATGAGCCTTTTTCTCGCCGAAAGAATCATGCAGGGTTTTAGTCCAACAGACACCGTCAAGTACAGACAAAGCAAAGACTCGAGATCAACTTTCGGGGAAGGTGATCTTTTGGTAGGAGATTTGTAGAGGAAACAAGGATGCCATAGAAGACTAAATCATATGCGTCTTTTTTGAGAGTGGCCTTCTGCGCGGATGGTTCTAAAAGGAAGCCATTTTGGGGGGTCACCTTGTTTTGAGACACAACCAAATAGGTTGCCCATTTCTCTGACACTCCAGCCGAACACAGCTCACCCGTCCTCCCAAGAGGGAAGGCTCCCTCAACGGAGGGACCATGGCTTTGCCGATCGTTTCTTGCGGACAAGCAGGCTGCATCACCAGGTGGCCGAAGGAAAACAAAATCCTTTGTAACAGTATCGTCACGATCCAGGAATGGAATGGCTGTGGCTCAAAATTAAACGATCGGAGGGGCAAACCGCAGGTTTTGGTCCATGTTTCCACTTGCCAGGGTTCCATGTTGGGTACCGGTTTTTTGAGCCCCTTGCAGATTGTGTCATGTTGGTTTTTTTTTGCAAAGTGGATCGCAAGCCGGACCCTGGATAAATCACAGGGTGTGTGTTTGGTGCGTCTTTCTTCATATTTGCCCAGTTGTCCAATGTTTTTTGTTTTTGTTTTTTTAACATTTTTTTGGAAA